TGGTGTGCATTTACTCTTTTATCGTCAATTTGAATACTAATTTATTCTTCTTAATTTGTACCAAGTTATATCACGTGTCCTTAAAACCGCGTATAAATTCAATTGTTATCCGATTTTAGGGTAAACAAATGTATATTAAGGGATTTGAAGAACATAACCCATAGTTAATTTGGACTTAAGTACATGAAGCTCAATTGCGACTTCACTACTTCTACTCTAAATCCGTCAAGTTGTATTCATTAGTAGTTTGTTAACAAGAATACAAAAAACCTTTTGTCCTGCGATTCCCTCTCTCCTCCGTAAGCCACGCCTTGGTCTTTTTTGTCAAACAATGTCACCATTACAGACAAGAATACACGTTTTTCTTGTCAATTTTTTTTTATCTTTAAAATCTACTCTATATATATAGAGAGTGGTGGAGCCACATAGCTCCAAGGAGTGTTAACTGAGACTTATTTGTCAAAAAATTATACTGTTTATATATATATATATATATATATATATATATATATATATATATATATATATATATATATATATATATATATATATATATATATATATTGAATTTTCTTGAATTCTTTGTATATTTACCTCTTTAAACCTTGACATCCCTTAATAAGAAAGAATACTTGTGCTTGTCATGATAAAAAAAAACTTTAGATTGTTGTATTTCTTTCCTTTTTCCTTGTAGATAAGCATGAAAAGTAAAAATATCATGACAAGAACAAAGTATATCTTTTTTCACCTAGTCAATAAACAAATAAGAAAGACCTAATTGGACAACATTTTTCCTCTAAAATTCTGACATTAAGAAAAGCTAAAATAGGCAAAAAAAATATTGGAAAGAAGGAAGAAATTGAAGATGAATTTTTTTTCCATTGTTGTCTCCCCACTATATATTGAGGATACATGAGAGTATTTTTCCTAATAACGAGACTATTGAAATCCAGATAATTAAGAGAGTATTACCTGTTTTGGTAGATGGCTAACGTGGGTCACATTAATTAGATAGACAAAGATACATGAGGTGTGAACCTAAACGGTTTCTCGTTTTAAATATTTTTGGGATAGGATTCTGATAGGCTCCTCACAACTCTTCTTGATGTAGAAATATGACCATTTACAACAAAATAAATCGAGGAAATTGCAATGATGGTTACTAATTAGGTTACGTTTTGTCCCTTATAATTACTAAAATATGCTTCCACAAAAACCTATTGTACTAATAACACCAACTAATATGCTCTATAATTAAACTTGATAGAATTGGTCATATATGGGACCATCAACTCTTATTGCCAACTCTGTTATTCAACTAAAACCACAGATTTTCTTACTCCCTCCGGTCCAAAATAAGTGATTTTTTGGCCTTTTTTTTGTGGTCCAAAATAAGTGATTTTTCCAGATTTCAAGAATGAATTAATTATTTTTTTCCTACATTGTCCTTGGAGTAAATAGTGTTGGAGTATGTGTTAGGAGTGTTTATGTGAGATAGTAAAGGTTAATATGGTCAATTTCATTGCTAATTAATGCTAAAAGATGAATTTCTTAATCTGTGTGAAAATATCCAAAAAATCACTTATTTTGGACCGGAGGGAGTATCAAACAACGTCGGAATCAACTCAACTACCATAATAATTGCAAATGAGTATTTTGTGCTCTTTGCCAGGGCATTATTATCTGCAATATAATACATATATATATATATATATATATATATATATATATATAGGGTGTGACATATCTTAATAGCAAAAGCTCACAAATCGGATAAGATTTAGACTTATCGTAGATATATATAGAACAGATGAAATAAATATATTGTGAGATGTATATACATAAGCAATTCCATTGTTTCTTTATAGCAATTAATAAGAGTATATAAGGTTATTTTTCAGTTGTTATGTGCGTTTACTATGTGTGTGTCCATATAGGGAAGCAAAGTGAATTGAGTAAAACAGATAACATAAACATGATGCAATTATAACTATTCATAAAGGTCAAGAACTATGTTGGATATATAAACCAAAACATAGGTGTTACAAACTTGGAAGAACTCAAGAGATGCCAAAAGTAAGAACCGATTTACCTACCACGTCATTAAGCAACTAGGAGAAAGAAATCTATGTAAAAATAAGTTAAAATGTTAGAAAATAAAGGCAAGCCTTATTATTTGGTATTCTTTTAGTGCTGTTTCCAGGACAACAAGGATCTCTACTTTGGATTAATTAACATTTTATCCTCTAACCGTACGCAATTAGCTAAATACAAAGAGAGATTTTTTTCTCTTTTTTCAGCATTTCCCTTTATGTTTTGTTCAAAGATTCAAAGAATTGTAGCATAGGAAAGACAAGATTTAGATCCAAATATGTCATTATTCTACTACTTTAATAATTCTAAAAAAGAAGAAATAGGCTCTTCTTCTTGGTTACTCTTTGCATCAACCGACCAATTATGAATTGCCAAGAGAGCAAATGATGAATGCTTTTGCATTTCCTTATGTTGGAAAAAATATAGTAAAAGGAGGGCAAATGTGAATTATAGCAATTTGCAAGAGGCTATGAAGAAGAAAAAGCTCCTAAAGGCTAAAGGGGGAGTGGTTCTGGGTCCGATATGTTGGCTAACTTTATTCAAAGTCACATCTTGCTAAAGCCAAACACTCATTCCAATCATTGTCTGTAAACTTAATCATGTATAGAAACAGTGTGTACTTATTAGTTTAATCTTGTAGATTAAGCGTCTAGAGATACATTAAATTAAGTTGCTGGAAGAAAGCATTATTACATGGACAGGAACAGCAAATAAACACAAGCGTGCAGCCCTTTGTCCTCAACATACAAATCACCAGTGTCCACTCTTTAGTCCCTCTTCTCATGATTTTTATCACTGAGGTATTTATTTTTAATATTTTCTCATGTCAAATCAGATTGCTATTTCTAACTTTTCAAAATATTCACTGATGGCATCATGGGAGTAGATCCTTCGTAGACTAAAATACCGTAACAAGATATGGCAATCAAAAAAGTCAAGACTAGCAATGTCCAATCAATAACAATGCTAAAAGAAAAAGAAATTGAAAGAGTGCATTTACAATCAAAGAGAAATTATGCCCCTTACGATTTTTGAAATGACAAGTATGCGTCATCGAATTCGGATACTTAGCATTCTCTCCCATTGGACCATGTCCATGTTCTTTTGAGCAGAATTCTGCCTTAGGCGTGGTTAGGATTTGACGTAAAACCCTGCTTATATCTTGCTAAACAAAAAGTGCATCAACAAAACTATATATTATCTTACCGCTTTACAAAATTATATGCAATTCAAACTATCTACATGAAAAGATTAATGCAAGAATAATTCCTCCCACGTACAAAATTTACTAGGCAATCTAACTAACGAGAGAATAGGAGAAACCCAAATAGATATATTTTGGGCCTTAATTAGTTTGACTACTCCACTCCTGTTTGTTGTAACCAAACTTAAAAGAGAATTTTCCCGGGGTATTTGCATCTATACCCGTTTTTTGGGTCACGTTTTAACTTGTGCCCGCTTTGCAAAAAAATTGCAAGCGTACCCACTTTTTCACGTAACTTCAGCATACGGGTCTGAAGTAGCAAAGGCAATCACGCAAAACTTCAGCATTCTAGTAGACGGGCCTGAAGTAGCAAAAATTGCTGAACCAAGTGTGCTGAAGTTTTTGTTTGTAATTGCTGAACTTAAGCATTCTAGTGCTTAAGTTTTGTTCTGTATTTGCTGAAGTTTTTATTTGTAATTGTTGAATTTAATCATTCTAGTAGCTGAGTTTTGTGATGCTGAAGTTATTTAGTTCATTTGTAACAACTTCAGCACTAAATACGCTGAAGTTTTTTTGTCCTGTATAAGCTTTTTCAAAAACTTCAGCAGAAGGATAAGCTTTTTCAAAAACTTCAGCAGAAGATGCTGAAGTTATTTAGTTCATTTGTAAAAACTTCAGCACTATATAAGCTGAAGTTTTTGAAAAAGCTTATATAATTTTTTGACCCATACAATCAATATATTGGATCTTCGTTTTTTTTCTTCTTTCTGAACGTTTTTATGGAGCAAATCAGTAATTACATTAGAAAAAGGTGCCTTCAGTGGAAATAAATCAAATAATCATAAAGTTCAAGTGATATAAAGTGAAACTATTACTTTAACCCCACAGATCAATTCATTTGATTCAAAGAAAAAAAGATTACATCAAAAATGCAAAAAAAAAATAAAAAGAAATCGTGCAGCTTATGTTAGTTGATTCATTGTTATTGATAAGTTGTAATCAATTTATTGGGACTTAAATTTAGTTGTCCCAACCCCCAATGAAGACCAGATGCTAACCTGTGTTATCGTACTGAAAATATCTTAAGAAATCGAAGGAGGAGAAGGAAGAGGAGAAAGGGGGCTGAAGTTATTTAAAAAGTGGGTACAAGTTAAAACTTTTAAAAAAAAATTAGTATAGGTTAAATGGGGGCAACCAAATAAGGCGCACCGTGCAATTTTTACAATTTTCACGCTGTGTACACAAATGTATAAGCTTTCAGGGGTATCCCCTCTACACAACTTATTTCAAAAGGATATATCCTTACGATCTTCAGAAACTTAAATTTCATTTTTCTTTAATGTCTTAATTGGAAATTGCATCTTATCCATTTTGAGTAATCCTGTAGTTCTTTTTATTCCTTTTTATATTAAAGAAAGCCATTTCTTAATTAGTGCACGTCCATAGTTGGCAATATTATCTGCGACTTGAATTGCTTTATTCAGTTCCTGCACATCCGAGAGTATTAGCACATTGAATTATGGTTTTCTTGATCTGGATGGTGTGGCTTTCCAGTTTTCACTTATTGTGGATATAGCATAACAGAAATCGGATTATGATTTTTTTTAATTGGCTGCCACCTCCATTGGCAATGACCCGGTGTGTGACACCATATGTGTCTTTTAAAGCTTCTTAGAAAGGAAATGCGATTAAGAAATTGAGGTCGAGGAGGATAACCGGTGGAGTTTCTCATATTCCTTAAACAGTCAAAAATTTAAGCTCGACTGTAGCTTTGGTTTGTCATGAACAGTCAATAGGCTCTGGTTAGCCAGACAGGGTAAGTTAAAAAATGCTAGAGCTGCATACCAGTATTGATCTTTGATATTTCAGCCTGGCCTCAATTATTGGAAACTAAACGCAGGCATTTGCACCTTAATCCGCCCAAAACAAAAGGAGTTGCCCAATAGCATCAGAAAACCCAGGGGAACCTCCAGTCGGAACCCACACTTAGGAGGCCTTTGGTGCCTTGTCTGATAGGACATTATCAGGCAGGACAAGCTCTGGAGGTGTATCACGAACACCACTCAACATAGAGTCATACTCTTCTTCCTTACGAGCGAATTTCTTCCGCAGCACCTTCTCAAATTCAATCTCATCCAACTTCTTTGCATTTTCAGCTGCATGGGCCTGCGCTAAATTGGAATAGTTCATGGCTGACTGGGAGATAAACATTATTTCTTCTTCTGTGAGCTTCCTCAAGAACCTTGCTGGATTTCCTCCCCAGACCTGTGTTTTTTAGTGTCATAATTACACGTGTTAGCAAGTTAAATTTGCAACAAAAGAGAATTATATATTTCATAACAGCAGAGAAAGCAAGACAAAACATGGAAAGGATTTTGCCCTAGGAATTCCCTTGTACCAGTCCAGCATCTTAACTCATATTCGCCTATTCTCTTGCATCAGTATGTACAGAATTTTACTTCTTCACCTATTGGTAAATACCCATGCAGAAACCTAAACGCATGCAAATTACCCAAGATAATGGCAAAATGAGTCGCATAAAGGCAGCCACATACCTCTCCACATGGAATCCTTGTATTCTGCCTGACAAGGGCACCAGCAGCAACCATAGAATTTTTCTCTACAACCGCCCCATCAAGCACAGTTGCACCCATGCCGATAAATGCCCCATCTTCAACAGTACATCCATGTAATACAGCACTATGACCTTTACAGTGTGATGTCAAAAGTCAAACATCAAGCTTACAAAAAATTCATGGTAGAATGTATATTATGCCCTAAATTGCCAAATAATTCTCACCTATGGTAACATTTTTCCCAATAGTCGTGGGCAAAACCCTTCCACTGATATTTGATTTAGCTACATGAATTAGAGAATTATCCTGGACATTGGTTCCGGCTCCAATGCTAACACTGTTCACATCACCTGCATGGAATCTCATGTTGAGCAAGAACAAGCATACCAAAGACCACAGAGGTCCAGGGCACTCCACACACACACACACACAAAAAAAAAAAAAAAAGAAAAAAAAAANGTAAAAAACACCATGTAATTATAATTGATTGAAGACCAAATTTTTTTAACAGAATTAGAGCCCAAGGCAGAGCATATATTCTTCTCCTTAAGGTGCTCTGAAAAGACGAAGTGATAACATATGAGGAGGTAGATGTAGGTTCATAATAACCAAAAAGAAAAGTTAAAAACTGAAAAGGAACAAAATCCTATTCAATAATGTAAGACCTGTGAGCATACTCACTCATTCATTGTTGGCAGCATGCATTAAACAAGACACACAATTCCAAAGCATTTTATAGAGAGACCGCAATGAGTGCGTATAAACCAAAATTTGCCCAACGTATAGTCATCAAGCTTAGTAGATTTGTAGGGGGAGGGTGTAAATTTTGCAGATTATTTTTCCAGAAAGACGATAACATATGGATCTACGAGAATTAGCCTTGAAAAGAGTATGATCAATGGAAATGCTCAATCCAAGAATCTAAAAAAGATAAATCAACAATCCAGTATCCAAGACAAGAAAAAGAAAATTTTGAATATAAAATAGTTATCTATTGATATGAAAATCAGCATCCCAATTTTAAAATTGAGACTGTACTGGAGCTTTTCAGAACTTAATGACTTCTTGGTACTTAAATGATGATTTCTTGAGACGAATTTTTTGTCCCAATATGATACGATACTTATTTCTTGAAATTGATTTTTGTCTTAGAAGGTTATCGGATAGCATTAAAGATTTTTTCAGGGAATAAGCAATCTCTCTTTGCTAAGCTAATTAACCTTCAACAAACAACATTTTATAAATAAAGATTTGGTATAGGACATTCTGTTGGTTCAACCATCTAGAGGACTCCATGATGTAGTTGTCTTCTAAAAGTTTACGCATTCACATAATTCAAGAAAAGGCAAAGCCTTCATGAGACAAGAAAAAATGATTTGCTCACCCCTCCTCAAATACCTCCAGGAAAATTTTACAATGTTGAAAAAAGGATGCTTCAAAAACGATCAGTATAAGGGCAGCATATTTGCACCACTAAGTCTACAAGAGATATTTTAAGCATTGAAACTAACATGGTATGTAGAAGCAGAACATACCTCGCAGAACACATCCATACCAAATAGAAGCACTACGACCAATGTGAACATCACCAACTATAGAGGCACTTGGGGCCACAAATGCATCCTTTTCAACAACTGGTACTTTGTCAAACAGGTTCATCAAAGTTCTATGCCTCGACACTGGAAAACAAAAGGAGGTAGAGATTCAAAAACTTTAAAGAAAGAAGATGTACTCCATATTGTACATAGCACATCAACATGAAATATGAAAATATGTGGTTTGACTAAAGGGGAAAAACATATCATAACAGAACAGAGGAAAGAAAGTTGGAAGAGGAAATAATTCTAGAAGTATAGCCAAAATATGCAAAATAGAATGCAAAACTCAGATATTGAGATTGGCTGATTGTGAGCAAATATGAGCATAAATAAGATCATCACAGTCAACAATGGCAATGTTTGTCTGGGATTCTAAGCGATCAGCTTCTTCCATATTTGACGAAGATATTTATAGACACTTAATAGTTTATCACAGTTAGCTTGAGGTAGTTATGCTAATCACAACATGTAAGCTGAATTATGTAGAACTAGGTTAGGTCCAAAGTTTAAATCTAGCTCTTCAGATTATTGTTAGACATACAACAACTATATGTTAGACATATAGTAAGATATATGATAAGTACTTGTATAATGAGTAGCCTTCAGAATAGCTACTCTATATGATCATTCTCGATAAGCTTGGATCAGCAAATACTTGTAATGAACCTTTTTTCTTGAACAAAAATTGTAGCTTCGCATACAGCCCAACTAATTCATCAGACAGCCTACTACAGCCCACAAGCACAAGTGTCAGGCAATCCTGTCTAGTGTCTACCAAGGCTGCACAATAGGCTCATACTGAGTGTTATAGAGGGAATTCCAACCTAAGCTCCAGGTTGATATCCTTTATTCCTATGTCTCAACCACTAAACCATCTTCTTGGGAATGATAACCAATAAAATAATTCGGAAACTACAGTTTCAAAGTTAGAGAGCATTGAATGTCTATTCGGAATGGAGGAAAATATTAACACCAATCAAATGTATATGATGTATCAACATAACAACATAATTTGTTGTTCCAAATTCATTAAAAAGTTATAAAGAGAGTCGACAGTTATCAGGAGGAAATTATCACCTTAAATAAGAGCTAATCAAATACTAACAGCTTTATGCAGCTGAAAAAAACAATACCAAAATTCAGTATTTTTCACCAAACATAGCAATGTCACCTTCACTGCAATACCCGAGGCGGAGGTAATAAAATCAATGCTCAGACAACATACCACAGCAAATGCAGCTAATAGGAACTGGCACAACCAAAAAATTTTATAAAATTGAAAGCGTGCGTTCTCCGACTTGAACAGATGTGTGAAATAATCAAATACCTAAGCCCTAGTTTATTAGGTATAGCATTCTATTGAATAAATGGAGGAGAAAATGGAGATGAAGGTGATACTTACGGTGTTCATGGAAGTAATAGTTGCCTTGGAGGCGGCAGCCCAATCGATCAAGGGCTTGGCCTGTCTCTCGGATCCAGAAACCGACGGTGTAGATTGCTTTCCCCGCCGAACCCATCCCCTATTTGCTTCCGATTCCAGAACCGGCTTTCTCCAATTTACTGATTACAACAGGCCTGAAATATATATTATTTATTTATGTAGAAGAAGTGAGATGTTGCGTTTAGCTGACTTGAGAAATGAGGAGGATTGTGGACACCACAAAGGGTGAGAATTGAAGTGAGCTGAACCTAAGCCCCGAGTAGTATTGAGTTGACTCGTCCCTGTTTCTTTTTTCTTTTTCTTTTATTTATTTATTATTACGAACTACTAGCATAATTGCTTTCAATACCAATAGTAAAATTAAAATTTAAAGGTAACTAAAGTTTCACATGTTCTTTTACATCTCTCTTCCTAACGAGTTTTTATGAAATACTAAATTATTTTTCTTATTTCCAATGCTAAAATATTTAATGAATATAAAGAGTTGTTGAAAATTTTCATATCATTGTCCATGTTGTTTTTTTGTTTGCCTATTAACATAGTATTAGTTTTGAATACCTTTGTTTTCCAATTATAATATTCTTACATATTTTTCAAAATGAAATTATATTTTCACATTTTTTGTTCATTCACTATTGTTTGGAAATGATAATACAGAGTTTAGAAAAGATAATAATGATTCTAGAGGACTAATTTTATAGTAGTCTTTTATCATTGATATATGTGTTTGTACACTTTTCAATGGCCACTAAACTAATCATCTACTCATTTGTTTAGAAAAATTTCTAGTGTTTCTAAGAAGCTAAGATATCACTTTGTATGGCTTAAGAATTGAGTTTCCGAAAAAAAATATATATAATTGAGTTCAAATTTATGTAATTATCTAAAAGTTCTTGGACCCGCCAAAAAGATAAGCTGCCACTAAACTTTTTTATTGTTTGAGAAGAAATTTTATTTTCTTTTTATTTTATGTTTCTGAGGCAAGAACTAAAATTTCATATTTCCAGATAAATACAAATTGAATTGTAAATCATTAAACAAAATACGTAAAAATTGTGTGGGGTAGCCACTTTTTAAAGTGGTATTTACTTTTTATCCAGCATTTTTACTACTTAGCAATAGTAACCACTAGTCTATTAAAATTAATATGAAAAGACTGTGTTACCCTTTCTTCTATCTCTTTCATGTTAGGGAGAAGAACTGTATTGAACGGGAATGGAATGCTTTCAGAAATACAAACGGGAATGAACTTTGCTCAAGTTCTGGCGCCACTATTGGCCAATACATTTGCACCTGGGTTTATAATTGTACTTGATCAATTCCCTTTTGATGTAACTCTGATTCAAACATATACTTGACTTACGAATGAATATCAATGTTAGAACGTTGTTCTTAATTTATTAAAAGAATATTTCGTTCCTTTCTGGCATTTAACCTTTTACTTTTTTTGTTTAACCATTCGTTATTTGAAGTCTAATGAAGCGACTATTTCAAATTCGCCTTATGTAAGCTTACTAGGGAATAAGCATGTATTGTGAATCTGAGAGTAATCAAAGAGAATTTTGGTTTCATTCTCTAGAAAACAAATCGTCGTCACTTGTATTTTCATCAGACTAGTAATGAAAAGGTTATGTAGATTTGTCTTATCAATGTTGCATCCAAGCCGAACCTGACATCAATCTTATATGTAAATTGCAATTATTAGTATTATTATTATTATTTTGTGAAAAGATACAAATAACGTTTATATCTTAGCTCCTTGAATTTGCTTTTAGCTCCTTGAATTTATTTTTAGATCTAAAAGTTGTGAAAATAAGAAAAAGAGTGATGAGTAAACAGGAAATGCAATTCCTTCCCAGAAGTTAAGGACATGTAGTCCTAAAGTTAAATTCAAAAGTTAAGGACATGGTCCTGAACTTAGAGTTTCAAGTTCAAAAGTTAAGGAAATGTAGTTAAGTCCTAAAGTTAAGTTCAATAGTTAAGGACACAAGTTCAAAAGTTAAGGACAGGCAGTCCTTAACTTACAGTTACAAGTTCAAAAGTTAAGGACAATAGGTCCTTAACTTTGATTTCCAAGTTCAAAAGTTAAGGACAGACAGTCCTTAACTTACAGTTGCAAGTTCAAAAGTTAAGGACAATAGGTCCTTAACTTTGACTTACAAGTTCAAAAGTTAAGGACGCTTGGTCTTGAAGTTTGAGTTCCAAGTTCAAAAGTTAAGGACATGTAGCCTTGAAGTCCTGAACTTAGAGTTACAAGTTCAAATGTTAAGGACATGTAGTCCTGAACTCCCGAACTTAGAGTTCCAAGTTCAAAAGTTAAGTACATGTAGTCCTGAAGTCCTGAAGTTAAGTACAAAAATTAAGGACATGAGCAGAAGGGTATTTTCGTCCGGGCAGTTAAAGTTTATTAAAGCAGTGGCTAAAGACTAAAGACATTTTAAACAGTGGCTTAAAAGTAAATACATGTGTTATTAGTGGCCAACCGTGCACTTCCCCCACAAAATACTCTTGATATTTTCAGTGATTAAAATTGAATTGACAGTAGAATCGGGCCTGCGAATATCATGGAGTTGGAAAAGTTTGGAGTAGATATTGAAAGGAATTTTTACCTCCTGTAGCAAATGTTGATATCTTATTTATTTTAAATAAATATCCTTTTAAAATATTATATTCCATAGCTACCTTTTAATTTTTATAGCCAAATATCTACCTCCTATTCTTAAGGCGTAAAATACGCTTTGTATTATTTTTCTCTCTCATTCTTTCAGATTTTTCTCCACCCTCTTTCTCTCAACGCCAGTCTTTCTCCATGAATAAAACCATGATTCTCCACTGATTCATCTCCGTTGTCGAACTAAATTTTCATTGTCAGTGCCTGGGGCTCTGAATCAATGTTGAAATCAAGCCCTAGAGAGAAATATAGAGGTTCGAAATCTGCTATTGAAAGGTAAATTGGGGCTGATAATGAAAGTTTCGTATAGCTATGTTTAGTGGTTGAAGAGTCTGTTTAGAAATCAATGTCTTATGTTTCGTATCAATGTCGAAATCTGACATAGGGTAAATTGGGGCTGACAATGGAGGTTCGAAATTGCTATCGAGGAGACGACATTAGGGTTATTCTTGAACAAAGACGACGGTTTGGGGCTGATCAACTTGAAGAGTCTGTTACCTTTTTTTCATTGTATTTCACATCTCGTTGTATTCTATGTATTTCATGTATTCATTGTCTTTTTTTTTTTCCCATTATATTTCAATGTATCTCGCTGTATACCATGTATTTTATTATATTCACTGTCTCGCTATATTCCATGAATGTATTCATATGTTTTTTTTAATTAATATAATTTATGTATTCAAATTTATAGTTGAGTTTGTTGAGTTATATTAGGAGTCTATTTGAGTTAATTGATTCACTTTCCGTTTAAGAACAACTGAATAGACCATGATTTACGCTATTTACGTTACTCTATTCACAAATACATATCTTGAATACAGTCGAATACAATAATTACAATAATTGCCTAGCTATACTCCCCTGTTTCACGCCGAGTTTTGCTACTGTATTCATGAATACAGTAGCTTAAATACATCGAATACACTCTAGCAAAACTGAAAACATAGATATAGGAAGTAATATAATAAACGGTAGCTACAACTAGCTAATAACCACTAAACAGTAGTGGTTTGTGAAAATTTCTCAACTCAAAACTATCTGAAAGTTACGAATAAGGGGGAGAAAAACAAAACGAAATCAAAACAAGATAGCTAACATGTCCAAAATATATTGGTAATAAACTTTTTCATATTTTGGGCAAGCATTCTTTCTACAGGATAGCAGTGCATATTTTCCAGTTTTCCCTGATGCTTCTTTTCTACAGCTTTTCTGAATTCATGCAAATTAAAGAAGTTCTACATATATTTCAAATATCCAATAAAACCATGTTAAACTAAAGAAAGCATATGAAAGGGAGAGCCAGCTTCAACAAGTCAATCAGCTTCTCTACTTAAATTTCCGGTAATGACTGCAGCATGTTCTTAACAACAAGGTCACTTCCTCAAACTTTCCACAATGTAAGAAGCATACAGGTCCCTGTGATCACAGCCATAAAGATAAAATATTTTAGTGAGGCTTTCTGGTAACACAAAGAATAAGCAATCCATAACCTGAGAGAACTCAAAAGCACTGACATGGAATACTTGATGGCATCAACAGCTGCTTCAGCAGGAAGAAAGTCTTCCACTGCAACTGACTTGTTCTCATTCTTTTTATCTGTTGACACAGAGTCAAGGATGTATAGAAAGAAACAGTAGAACCTAGCAAATGTTTGTCAACCCTAATGATATGCAGACATTGTAATACTCAAATACATTCTTGAAGCCAGAAACTCCACCCATGTCCAGCAGCCTCAGAGACTATCACTATCAGGATGACTATGGAGAATTTCCTCCTTTATTTAACTAATTAAACAACTAAATGCAATATCAGAGGATACAGTCTTCAAAAAAGCGCCGAATTTCAGCAAGACGATGAGGAGGAAGCTCCTTGATGTCTGAGTAGTGGCGAAACTCGGGATCATCAGCACATACTGCTATTATCTTGTCATCTTTCTCACCCTGTAACAGAGTTCTAACATCAATTAGTTATTCCATATTATGCTAAATGACTAGCATTACTTTTCAAATGTTGTAATGCACTCAAATAAAAAGGAAAATATAACTGTGTTGCCACTATGAGCCCGTTTGGATTGGCTTATTTTAAGTGCTTTTAAGCTAAAATAGCTTAAGTCATTTTGTAGTATTTGGATAAAGTAAAAAAGTGCTTTTAAACACTTGTTTTTAAGCTAAAATGACAAAAATAAGCCAAAAGCTAGAATTCCTAACTTATGGCTTTTGGCTTAAAAGCCACTTAAAACAAGCCCATCCAAACGGGCTCTATGTCACGCACCACAGTTATTTGGGGTCTGAATCTACTAAAAATTTTAACTCCTGTTTAACTGTTCCCTCTCGTAGTTTTTCTATCAAATGTGCAGAAGAGAAGTTATCACCCTCATCAAAGTTGACAATGGGCAAACTTATCAATGATGTATACGGCTCAATTATTATTGAGCTCTCGACGGCTATGTTGCGAGAACTCTCTGAAATGCTGCCGCACCAGATCCTCCAAAAGTGCACTACTTTTGGAGAATCTGGCGACATTTTCGGAGAGTCCGAGCAACATAGCTCAGCAGCAGCTCGACTAACAGCA